AAGAAGTGTTCGCCCACGTCGAAGATGTAGCGAAGTTCTTTGGATGTGGCGACAACGGGAAGTCCGGTCACCGCGGTGTCGAGGATGCAGAATGATTTGAAGTGCTCTACCAATCTGAGGCCGGTTGGGTCGTCGGCGGGGTTTTCCGAGTCCACCACGGAGACAGAGCTTGTAGTAGGTGAGTGCAGCCACGAGACATGCTTGGTTCGAGGCCTGGCCGCCGGTGCTGGGGGGTTCTTATATGAAGCCGCACCCGCTTGTGACGGGGCAAGCGACTCACGCGACTCCTGGATTCTCAAAGTGGAGGCGCTGGAAACAGTCGACAGGGTAGAGAAACTGGCCATACTCGCCTGCCGACTCGTGACCGACAGCAACGAGGGCGACATGGCCTCGTGGACAGTTCGTTGGGGTCCCGTGAGTGGCTGAAGGTAAGATTTATGGAGGTTGAACTGGCTGAGGCTCGTGGCTGGAAGTAGTGACTGTCGTCCATGCCGTCTGCGAGGCGATACATGGATGGTGGAGTCAAATCGATTTGGAATGGTGTGCGAAACAGTGAACTCTTCCAGGCTAGGTCGACTCCCGGGAGGTTCGAGAGAGGAGAATGTGGTCGTCGACGGGAAAAAGGACGCCGATGACTCTCCCCGACGCAATATACCAGAACCGAGAGTGGGTGTACCAGCTGGCGGTTCGGGTGATTTCCGTAGAGTTCGGAGAAAGACGTCTTTGAGACCCTGCTTCAGCGATCGCCGTGGAGGATTCGGTGGAGGAGGTGGAGGAGGTTGAGGCAGTTGAGACGAGGCTTGCCGATGTTTACCCACCATGATGTGAGCTCGTCGTTGCCTCTGATGTTGTCGTTGACCTGTTCAGGTTGGCAGGTTGAGCGACCGGCGTTCGGATTTTCTATTCTTGCGGACTGCGACTGCGTCGACTGAGATCCAAGCAAGTAAGACTTGGGGTGAATGTGAGAAGAGTCTGATGACAACTCAATGGAAGAGGATCAACAGTGATGACCTAGCACACACGGTGACAAGCAGTTACCCGTGTTCAATCCTACGCCATCTCACAAGCTGAGAAGCGCCGGGCAGAAAAAGGACAAAGAAGCCACCACCCAGGCATGAATACCAGAACGCCAAACAACAAACCTCTCAGATCCTATTGCAAAATGGAGAATGTCTTCTGTGACGGCCGTTGTCTACATGATGAGCATGGTTTGAAGAGGTGTTCTACAAGAAGAAAGAATTGTCACATTACAAGTTCATGATGGACGAACTTTTGCGATCTGCTGCAGGGGCTCGGGGGCTCAAGGCACATTGGTTCCCGGGGAACTCGGCTGGGTGGACTTAGGGCCCAAGCAGCCTGTTTCAGGTTTAGCAGGAGATCCAAAATGTCGGGAATTGTTTGCTAAGGGGGGCGGGACCGTGAGAGTATGACGAGAGGACATGCATCAAAAGTGAGGCTGGGTAGTCAATATGGAGAATTGGGCAGGACTCTTGTGCTAGATCTGGGTTCAAATCTGGTGGCATAAGTGAGGCTTGTGGGGTATGGGAGGTAAGGATTGTGAGTGACAAGGTCCATGTCTCAGGCAGAGCTTTCATGATCATTTCGACCAGATGGATGATAACAGTACACAGTTATTGGTTAGACTGTGATATACTGGATGTTCACAAGTTGAACCTAACCCAGTCGACAATGGCGTTTTCACATTACTCCCTTGGTAAGATGTAAATATGATTCAAGAGGTTGATAGAGGAGAGTTTTTCCGGCCAGGTACCAGGCGGCCCGTCGAACCAATCATCAGCTCGCATTGTCCGAAATTTTCCGGTCCATTGAATTGGGATTTTGGCCTCCGAACAGCTTTGGCTCTTTTTTCACTCTCAGTTTCGTTTGACCACCGCAACTCAACACAATCACCACTGCTTGAGAGGGTGCGCCGCCGTTCTCACCCAAACCCTTCTCTTCACTCTTGAAGCTCCATCAGGAGCTCTAGTAGCCATGTCGGCCGTTCCCACCTCTCGCGCCCTTCTCCGGCAGTCCAGATCCTTCCTGCGACGAAACAATTTCAGACAAGCTTCCACCACCTCAGAAGCCGCCGCGAAGGCGCAAGAAAGCTCAAAGCAGGCCGTGTCAAAGGCTTCGGAAGGCTTGAGCCGCGTTTCGAGCTCCGCGGGCTCTGCAATTTCCAAAGTCGGCTCCTCTGCGTACAGCGCCCTGAGCAGAGTTGGTGGAAGAACAGGGAGAGTTATTGCCTTTGTCGAATGTATGCTACAAGATCCTCTCCAGGAAATATCGGGACACCTGTTAACTTGGTCGCAGCGTTAATACCACCCACGATCTACTACTCTCGTGTCGGATGGGAGGTCGCACGGATCGTCTTCAAGAATCAACAGATGGCTCCTCCGTAAGTCTGATTGGGATCCGATATCATCTACAGCTTCTGACCTGTTATTTTCAGCTCTGTGGCTCAATTTCAATCCTATTTCCAGCCTCTGATTAATGTCTTCCGGAACCCTACGTCCATCACGTCAAGCGCAAGCTCTGTTTTCAAAACTCTCAATCCGGACGCTGCCCTGAACACCATTCGCACTGCAAACCGCAGCCAACTGACCGCGGGTGGAATTGTCTTGGCTCAGGTGTTGGGTTTCTTTACCGTTGGTGAAATGATTGGAAGATGGAAGCTGGTCGGATACCACGGCGAGCCGCATCACGAACATTAAGAGAAGGTTCCCAAAATGACCGACTGCCAAACGCTTGTTTGATGGCTGTGCATTGTAATCTTAGGAGTTTGTCACACGAAAAGACAGGTCAATACATACTTTTAGGTCAATACTCTGCTTGGGCTTGTTTTGGTGTCTCTGTTGTGGTTGAAGGACCAGCGATTGGCAAAAGGCTTCATATCCCTTCAGCGGCAATCTGTCTGACAGTCTCGCTCTGCAGAACATGTTTGGCAGATTCTACTTCCACATGGCAACAATGGATCGGGATGGTCACCAAATGTCATTGTGAATCGCGAGATGATGGCCTACGAAACAAGCTAAAATCATCACCTGCACTACAACCTGTTCTCAATCCAAGTCTTGCGTTCTACCTCGCTTGTCATTCCCACTCAGATTCTTCAGGCGGTCTCTGATGGGGTAAAGACTTGTAAACCGTGCCTTAGATATGTCATCATCTACCTCATATGGCAACCTTTATTCCGTCCCGGGACTATCGACGGAATAAGAGAAGAGCCAGCACCAACTCGAGGGCGCCATTTCTTTCTCATGCTTGATCAAGATTGACTTGCTTTGGCGCCAGAATTTGTGGAATACAGACGGTACTGTTTTCACTCGATCCAGTCCTCCAGACATATAAATCTGAAGCCTCTGACTGACGAGAAGTCCTGGAGAAGGAGAAGGCTGTTCAGAATTGAAACTCGACTGCCCGCGCCGTAGCTGCCCTCCTGATATCTTGAAATAACTAGCAAGACGGCTCGAGGATGTGTTGAAGGCTGGATATGGCACGAAATTTACGTCCACACGAGGCACCTCGCTTCGTTCCCGAGCGCAGTCAGGCCGCACCCTCGCAATGCGAACTCTTTCGTCGCTCCGTTCACCCCTGCAACCCTTGCGCTCCCCGAAGTCAGTCAAGAAACGTGGGACAAAGGAAGGGGTTCCTCGTCGCGTATGATCACCTAACACGGTTCGTGGCAACCTTTCCGCCTGCGCCGGAGGGAATGAGTTGGAGAGACGCATGCTCTGCTGACCACGAGGGTCAAAACAACCCGAAACAGGTCCTGAAAGACCATTGACTTCACTACATCTAGACCCCGATGACGAAGCAATGGATGGCTCCTATCTCTAGCTATCCTGCAGCAGACTCTCGCGCAGGTGACCAGCTGTTTCGCTTGTTCAGCTCGCTCACTCAGAAAGATGCCATACACCTTTTGTTACCACTCATCGAGGCCTGCGCGTTTGTTGCACCCAAGTATACCCGACCCCGTCCAGCCCATGGGCAGTGAGCCTCTAGAGCACCGAAGCACATCCAGCATGAACTTGCCGGCTGCACCTGACCTTTGTTCTCAATATTCGGCTGGTCTAACGAGACCCTGGTACGAATAAATTTCATCTACTCGGTACTGGCCATACACCCCTGACTGTGCATGGCCGGGAAGATTGGTGCAGGGATCTTATCAAGAGGAAGCGAGACTCGCTAGGACACGAATCGTTCTAGAACATATTGTGAGCAGCTTGCCTCGAAGGAGTTCTAGAGGGAAGAAAGTATGTGTCTCTATATTCGTGCTTATCATTTCAGCCTCGGGGCCAAGAACGAGCCTTCGTCTGTAACGCGCTACTGCGACCAGGAGGCACCTTGTGCTCGTACAAGCTAATATGTAACATGAAGATTCGCCAATCGCATAGCGTCTGATATCGCCCTGCAACGGGAAAAATGTGACCAATCGCAAAAGGTACGAGTAGGTCAGCTGGCCCCAGAAAGAGCCTGGGAAGGAGCACTTCTCTGTGGCTTGAGGCTAGAGATCCGCACGGCATCCTTGATCCGACACAAGGATCTCTACAGCAGACACAGCAGACACTATCAAAAAGGACTTCAAAGACCCAATCGACCGATGTAGTATGGACCGTAAATCTTCTCCCTTACCCACCAATCATTTCCAACCATGTCAGGCGCAGGTCCTGGGGATTCAATCTCTAGAGGCGACTCTGACAATGGGTAATGCGAATAGAAGGCTGTAAGTAATCTGTACCGCATTTCATTGAGCCCTCGAGGTATGTCAAATCTGTACCGCATTCCATTGAGGCCCCAAGGTATGTGAAATCTATTCGCAGCTCAATCTGGATTCACCTCAGCGCAGGGTGATGATGCTGGCCTGTGCTCATCGCCGCCACTCCATGACGCGTCGAGTAACAATGCAAGATGGAAACTTCTTTCACTTCATCCTACATTTTCACTGATTCTCACAATCCGAACTTTCCACGTTGCCTTATCATCATGCACGACAGGAAATGGCACCCGCTCCTCGTCTTCGAGTTCCGCGCCCGCAGCCGGCAGAGGCGCCAAAAGAGACGGGGATGACATCCATCAGCAAAGTCACATCCACGCCGGGTAAGGCAGGACGCCCAGTTCTTCTCTCGTTCAAAGAAATGCCGGAATGGTACCGACGTGAATCCAACCCGTGGATCCTCCGTGGCTATCGGCCTATCTCAGGCTCGGTTCACGCATCGTTCCGCAGCTGGTCGTACATCCACAATGAGTCGGTCAACATCTATTCCCACCTCGTCCCGGCCGTGGCCTTCCTGCTCGGCGAGTGGTATCTTCAGCAGTACCTTGGCAGCAGATACTCCGGAGTCACTGTCGCCGACTTGGTCGCTTTCTCCATCTTCATGTTGGCAGCCGTCACGTGCCTGTCGTTGTCGGCGATGTACCACACCCTGATGAACCACTCCCAACCTATGGAACATCTCTGTCTGCGACTGGACATGCTGGGTGTAGTCATCTTTATACTGGGAGACCTTGTCTTGGGAATATACATGGTTTTCTGGTGTGAAGTTTGGCCACGAAATGTCTACTGGGTCATGGTTAGTCAACCTCCATTTGTACACGTTTAGTTTTTTCTCATCTCAGACTTGATATTTGAGTCTAACACTCATTTTTTCTGGTTTGATAGATCGGAGTTTTTGGGTCATTGACCATCTTCATGACAATGCATCCCAAGTACCAGGGTTCGAAACATCGCCTCTTCCGAGCGTTGATGTTTGTGGTGACTGGCTTGTGCGGTGTTGCGCCATTGATCCATGGACTCAATGTATTCGGCATGTCGCAGATGATGACAAAAGCTTTTCCCTACACTCTGGCAAAAGCAGGCTGCCTTCTAACTGGGACTTTATTTTACGCAGTAAGTCTCCTCCCATTTTCGCACACAAGAGAGAAGAAATGAAGCTGACACATGTGGTTTTCTAAGACTAGGTTTCCCGAGAGACGATATCCTGGTAATTTCGACCTATGGGGCTCCCACTCGATCTTCCACGTCCTGGTGGTATGCGCCGCTGTGGTCCAATTAATGGGGTATCTGGATGCCTTGGATTATGCTCACGCCAATCTTACTTGCTCGTCTCATTGAATTATGTGTACATGCCGAGGACATTCATTGTGGCCACTAAGACGAGCTTCCAACCCCGGACCGTTAGATAGAGAAGAGCAGCAGAGGCTGATAGGGTATGATGAATTACCAATTGAGGGCGCTTAGCGGCATGGATAGCATGAACGGGCGACCTCGCTTTAACTTAGTCTCTCTTGAGCCTGCGTCTTTGTCTCGAAGAGGGAGGCCCTTCCGCCCATTATCGTTTCTCCTTTACTTAAGATGCTAGCTAGGCTCGCACTGTTAGGAGTCAACTCGTCTCTTCAAACCTGCCAACCTGATTGAGCCGCCAAGGAAGGAAGATCTAGGAGGCGATATCCGATTGTGGACGAGCTTAGCCAATCAGCAAGGCTGCATGGCTGGTTGGCTTGATAAGATGGACTTTCTATTTTTCAATCGGCCTTGTCAACTTCTCCCAACAAGCCTTACCTTTTCACGGACCACGGGTGATCTACTCTCCACTCCATTGCATGTCTCCATTCCATCCCATGTCGTGCTTATCAGTGTTTCCAGTGAGCCAACAGGGATTGGCAATTACGGCCCGCACTTGGCGTCGATATGCAGGCCAACTCTACCACCACTCCACGAACACTCCACGCCAAACCAAATTCCCCAGCTTCTTGTTTGGTCGCACAGGTGATCACAGATACCATGTCATGTCGCTCGCGTCCCCTCGTGCCGTTATCGGGCCAGCGAAGAGCAGGGAAAATTTTTCAGTGCCAGCCATCGCGTGCTCACGAGCCATGTGCGGATGGAGTTCTCTCCCACGAGCCCAGACTTTCTTTTGCTGCACGCCAGCTTCGTCTTCACGTTGGCCAGACGGTGAACCGAGAAATATATAAGGTGAGGAAAGCCCACTCACGGGCCACCAACCATAGCCAGCCTCCCCTCCATCTGCGTCCCCCGGACTTCTTCGAAGAAATTGCGGCAACTAGTGTCACAAGAGCCAAGGTAGGCATACTAGAGTCAAGATGTCAGATACTGCAGGAGCAGCTGTTGTTCCTCTCTCAAAAGGATTTGGATATGGCATCATCCTAGGTCTCGGGTTTGCCTTTGCGCTGGGCATGATTGGCACGACATGGGCATTGAAAAGATATCACGGAGAAGTCAGTACCGGCCGGTCCCCAACCAATATATAGCTAACAACCTTCAGGTACAAACCTCTGAAGAGTTCTCAACCGCGGGGAGAACTGTCAAGTCTGGTCTCGTAGCCGCAGCCGTCGTGTCCAGCTGGACTTGGGCTGCGACCTTGCTTCAGTCTTCGGGTGTGGCTTATTCGTACGGTGTCTCCGGCCCATTCTGGTACGCGTCCGGGGCCACTGTCCAGATCTTGTTGTTTGCGACCTTGGCTATTGAGTAAGTGTTGCTCGTGACTAAAATACAACTTCTTACTAACTGTCCATACAAGGTTGAAGAGACGTGCACCCAATGCCCACACATTTCTTGAAGTGATCAAAGCCCGCTATGGCGTCGTGACACACGTTGTCTTCCTGATCTTCGGCCTCATGACAAACATCCTTGTTACCGCGATGCTCTTGACTGGTGGCAGTGCTGTGGCCAGCTCCCTTTGTGGAGTACCTACGGCTGCAGCCTGTTTTCTCCTCCCAATTGGTGTCGTTCTATATACCATGTTTGGCGGGATCAAAGCAACCTTCTTGACGGATTACGTGCACACGATTATCATTCTCGTCATCATATTTGTCTTTGCATTTAGCGCCTATGCGACTAATGAGGTGGCGGGCTCACCAGGCAAGGTCTGGGAACTTCTTGTGGACGCGGCGAAACGACATCCCGTGGACGGAAACAAAGATGGCAGCTATTTGACGATGCGAAGTCAAGAAGGCGCTATCTTTTTTGTCATCAACATTGTCGGCAACTTTGGTACGCCTAACATAGTGTCCCGCCTGGTCAAATCCTTCTGCTAACTCCATCAAGGGACTGTGTTCTTGGACAACGGCTATTACAATAAAGCCATTGCCGCTTCGCCTGTCGACGCACTGCCTGGATATGTCATGGGTGGCTTGTCGTGGTTTGCCATCCCCTGGCTTTGTGCCACGACCATGGGTCTTGCTGCTCTCGCCCTCGAGAACAACCCTGTCTTCCCAACCTACCCAAACCGCATGTCCCATGCCGATGTCAGTGCAGGGCTGGTCCTCCCATATGCTGCCGTTGCCCTCCTCGGAAAAGGTGGAGCAGCCGCCACTCTTCTCCTGGTTTTCATGGCCGTCACCTCAGCCTCGTCTGCCGAGCTGATTGCCGTCTCGTCGATCTGGACCTACGACATCTACCAGACATACATCAACCCCAAGGCCTCGGGCAAGTTCTTGATCCGAATGTCTCACGCTGCCTGTGTCGTTTACGCCATTTGTCTGGCCTCGTTTTCGACCGGACTGTTCTATGCCGGTGTCAGCATGGGGTACCTCTATCTGCTCATGGTAAGTTTTCCTATGGGCCAGCACGAGCGATATGATGCTAACTACATCTGCTTGTGAAGGGCTGTATCATTAGCAGTGCAGTCATTCCCGCCACCCTGGCACTGATGTGGAAGGACCAAAACTGGCAAGCCGCCGCGGGCGCCCCCGTGCTAGGCTTCGCATGCGCCTTGATCGCCTGGCTGGTCACGGCCAAGAGGGAGTGCGGCGTGCTCAACGTCGACTGCACGGGCTCCAACAACCCCATGTTGGCGGGTAACGTCACGGCGTTGCTCAGTCCGCTCGTCTTCGTCCCCATCCTCACCTTCGTCTTCGGCCGGCAGAACTACAACTGGGAGTCGATGAAGGCGATCCGCAAGGGCGACGACTCGGACATCCTCCGCCGCGCCAGCGTCGACGCCGAAACGCAACGCGAGATTGCCGCGCGAACAGCCGAGCACGAAGCCGCCGAGCAGACCAAGCTGAACAAAGCGGCCATCATCTCAAGGAGTCTAACCGGGTTCATGACCATTGCCCTATTGGTGCTGTGGCCCATGCCCATGTACGGGACGGGATATATCTTTTCCAAGAAATTCTTTACTGGTGAGTTTCCTGTCGTTGCGTTCCGTTTCACAGTCTGGCTCTATTCAAAGAAATCTCCATCTGTTGGGCCCTTCCTCACATTTCCCCTTTTGCCGTCCTGTCACTTTTTCTCTTCTCTACCTGTTTCGCTCCACTAACACACTCTTTTCCATTACGATAGGCTGGGTCGTCGTCGGCATCCTCTGGCTCTTCTGCTCCAGCTTCTGCGTCGGCCTGTTCCCGCTCTGGCAAGGCCGCAAAACCATGGCCCACACTGTCAAATCCATCTTCCTCGACGTCGCGGGCAAGAGAGGATCTGCCCTCCACGGCCGCCCCGCCGAGGTTGTCGAAGGTGAGGACCAGGAGACCAGTGGACAACAAACCCCCCACGATGGCGCGGAGAAGGTCGTGGTTAAGACCGATTGAGCGGGTTCTGCATCAACGCATAGATCACAGACCACAGATCTCGTGCAGTGTGTGGTGGCTCTGTGTGGCCCGATGTGGACAGGGGTGCAAGATACAAGATACGAGGTTTAAGGAGAGTCTTGAGGAAGTATCAAGACTAGGATCTAGGGTTTGGCGAAGGGGAGGCAGGAAGGCAGCGAGAGAGTTCCCCAGAAACTCGGTTTATTCTTGTGCTGCGTAGATAGATACCCCAGACAGGTAGAGCGAGAAGGTTAGTTTCAGAAAAAAAAATGGCTCTTTTTATTCTTCTACTTCTGATTATCTTTCTGCTTCTACTTCTGCTGCTGCTGCTGCTGCTGCTGCTGCTGCTGCTGATGCTCCATGGATATCCAGGATATCTGAGATATTCAGGTACCAGCTATCTAGAACCACTTTAGAAGACAGGGCAAGACAAGGCCTTTTTAGGTGCTAGATCCTAGGTAGACTGGTAGACTGGTAGACTGGTAGACATGTAGAGGGAGAGCCTCGTCAAGGAAGGTTACCAGGGATCCCAGGAGGAATAGAAAAAGAGATCAAGAGAGGACAGACCTCTGGAAGTGAGGAAGCTCAAGATCTATACATACATACATGGCCTCTTCTTATACATCACATCACAATGTTGAAGCTAGTCAGAGTGGTAGTGACAGTGACGGTGACTACTTAACTTGTTATCTTGGACGATATGCATCGTATGCGTTGCATGCGTTGCTCATTATCATTTTCAAAGCCATGGTTAAAGTCATAGTAATACAACTCGACTCTTTTTGTGTCTGTTTGCGTGTCGTCGGTGAATCAATCCTGGCCATTTTCCAAACCTGTACGGATCAATCGGTACGACACACGCTTTGTATCTCCTAGTAGACATCACCCATGTGCCCAACACCGCCTCAACTGTGCCTGGCTATCCCCTCCTACCCACCTCGAGCTATCCTAGCGAGACCATCGTTGTCGTGTTCAAATTGCATTGCCATCACACAGGCACTACTACCAACCCAGACCCCCTCAAACACCCACTTGTAACGGGACAAGCACTGTGCGGCAAAAATTTGTGACCTGTCAATCTGTCTCTTTGTTCTCTCGCACTAGCAACAACTCATTCCTTTTCCAGTATTTCCAGTGTTTACTTCTTGTCGGCGGGCTTCGTGTTGACCAGTCCAGACAAGAACCCGCTGAAGCCTTCTGGCTTCTTCATGTCTTCCCAGCTCTGTCGTCGGTCGGCGTGAGCGTCTCGGTTTGCCATGAGGCCGGAGAAGATGCCACCCTGGTTAGAAGCAGAGGACTAGAACATTTCAGCCTCAGTCAGCATGGTTTCACACGAGTGATGAAGAATGAGGTTCAACAGGCGGTGCAGTGTGCGTGTCGTGAGAGCATATTGCAGACTGGGAACAATACATACCCGTCTCCGTCCGGCAATGGCTGCCGCAATGCCTCCCCCGGAGCTCGTCGCAGGGGGTGAGCTGGCCTTTGGCAGAATGTCTGCCGGCTTGGCCGCACTCGACCCGCTCAACCTCCTCGACGGCTCGTGCACCTCTTTCCCCGCCATACCCATGAATCGTCGGTCGCCGCCCCACGCGTCGGGGTTGGACAACACCTTCTTCTCTACGACCGGGTAGTCGGGAAGAGCTGGTGTGGCCCCGGCAGCGGCGGCAGCGGCGGCGGCGGCAGGGGTGGCATTGGTCAGGATGGGTGAGTCGGCGGTCTTGTCGCTGCCGGAGGAGCCTGAGAGACGACGGGCGGTGCCTTCGTGGACTTCACGCCCCGCAGGGAACATGAAGCGGCGGTCTTGCCAGGACGAGGACGAAGATGAGGACATGGTTTTCTGATGCCTAGATGAGAGTATGTGAGTGATGCAACAATGGCCAAGGGAAAGAGCCTGAATATGTGAGGTAGTGTTTGGAGAAAAAGGTACTTGGAAAACAAAGGTAAGTGATAGGTAGAGATATATCGAGAAGAGTTCAAGCAAGAGGCAGAGGCAGCAGCTGCTGGCCAAAGGTGATTGGGAGATTACAAAGAGCTGCCAGCTGGTCGTGGTACGAGGGGAAGGGCAAGCCCCCCTCGCTGTTTACGAGCAGAGTAACTTCCTTCCCTGACGAGCATCCGTGACATGTGAGAGGTGGACAAGGGCGGCATTGCTCGTACGAGTCTAGCCAGTAGTCCAATAGTTCAGGTCTTTTCCTTTTGACCTGCTGCTCCTCCCCCGCCTTTGACTGGCTTCGTCTGGGGTAAAACATTCGCGGCGCCGGCAGCGCCTGGAACCAAATGACGCCAAGAGATGCTTATCTGGACAATGACGTATGAATGGGGCCGGGACAGCAGAGGCTATTTGAGCCGATCACATGCTATCGGTAAAAGATGCCCTGGAGTGATGAGCGAGTATCTCAGAGCGCAGCGCAGGTACTGTAGGTGTGTGTGAGAAAGTCATTCGTAGAGATGTACAAATGTGAGTACAGTATTGACGTCCACATTTCCCAAAGCCTTGGTTGGCCAGGCATTGACATGTCGTGTCCCCCATTCTCGACACTCATCCTGTTTGGTCATTCCAACCCTATGGACGTGGCTTGATCTGAGAGAACCGAGCAAGAACCTCATGGAGACTGTCCCAGCTGCAGCATGAATATGTTGGGCAGGGCTCAATGTCCTCCGTCATCACCGTCACTATCACCGTTTACGTTCTGTGCTGCAGTGGCAAAAGGGAGGAGGATGCGTTCCTCTTCGGCTTCGTAGATGCGCTGCTCCCACAAGACTCAGTCAGCCGTGTCTCCCAAAAAAATCACACATGAAACCTTCTGCCTCGCGGAACCCTGATATTGTGGATGGATGGATGTGGCGATCTCACCTCAATTGCGCCCGTTGCCGTCATCCAGCTAGCAACCAGCATGCTCTGCAACACCCAGCTGCCCCCAAAGACACGGCTCCGAAATCGCGAAGCGTCCCAGGTGTCAAAGCCACGGTGTGGGAAGTTGGAGTCCAGATGCAGCTGGAGCAATTGCGGGAATCGATCCAGTGCCCGCTGCGACTTTCGCACGGCATCGCGGTAGAAGCCCACGGCGCCGAGAATGAAGCCAGCACAGGCCGACACCACAAAGGGGATTGTGGCGGTATCAAAGATCATGGCGCCTATTGAGGCGCCGCTCATGCCCACGAAAATGGAGCCCAAGGTCCCAGAGACGATGACCCGTGCCATGCTGAAACACCACGCGGGTTAGATAGACATCCTACCGATCGAATTCGGAAAAGGGGCGTTATCCTCTTAGGGAAAAGACACCTACAATATGCCCGGACCGCTGCACCAACGGCAAGATGATTAGAACCAGGGAAATCCGCGCCAGACAGCGAATAACGGGTCGGCCGTGCCGTCCTCACCTTACATTCCCCCAACCTCCTCCCAGGCGCAGAATGTGTCTATACGCGTCGGTGAAGCCAGTGCTTGTGAGCGCTTCATTTCCAGGGGCTGGATTGCGGAAAGACATGGTTCTCTAGCGGAAGCTCTCCAATTACTTGCGAGATCAATAAAAGGGACATTGTCGACATTAGAAAGCTTTTAGGCCAATCAGCCGCTGTGCGTCAGAGTCTTGTGGACGAACGTACACTGTTGATAGCTTCGTCGGAGCATTCGAAAGGCAGAAGCAGTCACCCGGTCTGTCGGCGGTATAATAAGATCTGATCCAACCACTTGACAACCCAATCACCAAACAAGCTTCCTGGATAACGTGAGCAACTTTTGGTTTCCCCCTTAAGCTGTGCAACATTGGGATATCTGCTCAAACGGGCCCTTGGTCCCTGGGCACCTTGGCGAGCACCGAATGGGTGTTCGAGGTAGGACAATACGTCGCAGCTGAGGCATAGCGCGCAATACAGAGCGGCACCAACACCCAAGGAGAGTGGCCGGGAGGACCTAAGCTTTGTCATTATCGGTGGGTTTGACGGATGTGAGCAAATTTCCCTTTCGCAAGAGAGAGTGGCTGAGCACATTTCGTAGGCGCAAGTTCTTGGCTTCTCCCTTATTCCTAACAATCAACAAACCAAAAACATGCTTAACGGGGCCCCTGTGCTAGGAGAATACCTGCTCAGAAAATGTCGGGTTCCTCGTTATACAGAGACGTGCCATGTTCAAAAACGAGATCCTCGCTCCATGTCTATCGTGAGATGGACCAGACAAGAACTTTTTGCAGTAGCCAGCACGGCGATTGAACGCGGAGAATATCCCATTTCCTAGAGTCGCCAGAAAGATTAAGTGGTCGCGAGTATTATGCGACCTCTTCCTCTCGAACCAACAATGGATCTTTGTGGTGTGTGCCGACAAGGTAGGAATGGCCTGCAATTCCATATCACCAAACTGCGACCTGCAGATCGGATCGAATTAGGGATCACTGACAGTGATCCAAGGTGTCGACGATTCAAACCCTCCTCGATCCTCGAGTACCCGTCCTTCGAGATATCAGGGCGGTCTCGCGCTATGGGTCGGCAACATCCCCCAAAACACCACCGTCATGAGTCTGCGCGACTACTTTTCCGAACCCGCCCCGTGCGACCTGCTCAGCGTCTCGTACAACCCGGACGCCCGATACGCTTTTGTCAATTTCAGCTCCGAGGCCGCGCGGCTCGCGGCCATCAGGCTCGCGGGCTCTCGGCTTTTCGACGGCAGGCGTCTGGACTGCCGCATCCGCCACGAGTTTCGGGGGAGGTCGACCAAGGTCAACTACGGACTCAACACCAGCACAAACAAGGCGCTCCTCACCTCATCGAGTCCGGTCCGCTGTGACAGGGCGAAATCTCTGCGCAGCAAGGTCGAAGAATTTACGCATTTCCCCGAGGCGGACAGGTCGTCGTGGGGCAAGGAGAAGTACTTCATCCTCAAGAGCTTCTCGCTGGATGCCCTGTACCAGAGCCTCGAGACTGGCCGGTGGCACGTACCGAAGCGGCACGTCGAGCGATTGAACCATGCCTATCAGGTACGTCGATGCACTCAATCCAAGGACATATGATGTATTGCGTGACAAGTCGTGTCCCGGCTCTTTCGTTATGGAGATTTTGTGTTGCCTATTTGGCTAATTGAAACCTACTCGTCTCCACCCAGACAGCCAGCAAAGTCTACCTGATCTTCTCCGTCAACGGCTCGGGCTGTTTCTTCGGGTATGCGGTCATGCGCTCCGAGATTCGCGTCGAGGACGACGACCTCATCCCATTCGGCGACGAAGTGCACGTAATATCGCCGCACGGCTTCGAGGTCGAGGACGACTCCGGGGCGAGCCAGCCCGAATTCGAATGCGACGCACAGCCCACCGCGGTGAGGTCGAGGACGGAGTCACTGGCATCGTCTGACTCGACGATGACATGCTCCTCGACGGCTTCGTGGTCGTCGTTGTCGCCATCCTCCTCGGTCTCGTCCGGCTCCATCATCTACCAACCCGAACGACGGAGGATAATTTGGGAGGCGTCCTGGCCACCGAGAACCACTCCGAGGGAAACCGTCTCGACGGAAGAAGATCTGCACACAAACTCGCCAACAGGGTCCCTCTCAGTCTCGGAGATTCACCCGCAGCCGCAGCCCCTGCCATGGCCGGTTGGTAGAACCGATCCGCACTCCCTATCGACCCTGACCGCGACCGCAACCACACTCTCCAACCGGACAGAATCGCCTGATGATATGGCATCCCGATTCACCGCCACCGCCAACGGCGATTCCGACGCATCATCGTCGTCGTCCTTCCTCGCCACGCTCGACCGCTTCAGCAGCCCCTGCCGCATCAAGTGGCTGTGCGCCCAGAGCCTGCCCTTCGCGGCGGTGCGCGGCCTGACAAACCCCTGGAACGCCGACAAGGAGGTCCACGTCGCGCGCAACGTCACCCCCGTCGAGCCGACCGTCGCGGCGCGGCTGTTGGAGTCTTGGGGCACGGCCACCGCTGCGTCGAGGTCTACCTTTGGATCTGGCTCTCGATTAGGATCGGGAGCGGGATCGGGATCCACGAGCGAGGTGGGCGTGACGAGCAGAGGATAACACGCGGGATCCTCGTCATAGCGCCTTCCAGTATCGAACATGTATGTATGCATGACCCCAAACAAACAAACACATAAACCCCAGAAGAAAGGATCGGCAGATCATGACCACCCAACGACAAAAAGACGAGACCAATGAATTGAACAACGAAATACAATGGTGATGATTTCAATGATGAGAACGTGCATTGCATATATGCATGAGCACAATGAATGGATCAATGATCATATCCTCTAGACCCGGTAGACCCGATATATATTCGCGCGCGTGTAACCGTTCTCACTGAATATGGACGGCCACCGGTAGAGGTAGGGGTCATCAATCACTTTGTCCGGTCACGATCCTTGCACCATGAGCTACTTACCAGCCGTACATGACACGCTGTGTACCGTATAGCGAGTACAAGACAAGTAAATACCTATTAGTTATCGTCATATATAAGTACCGCTCAGTCCTCTGCCGAGTAGTCCACGATCATTCACCGGCCCTCCCTGACCGAGACACATGTCCGTCCTGTAAAGAACTCATACCCTCCATCTGATTTGTTCCCACCACGGCTTCGTCCTGACGAGTCTCCCAGTCCAAGTCTGAGTCCTCGATGCATCGATCCCAGCTAGATGCTAGGTAGGCAATACCTCGTGAGATACCTCTACCTACTTACCTCCCACCCTACCTACCTGCTCTCTCACCTCACTCTGTACTACATGTCCATTGAATCTCATGGGTTGCGCGACTGTACGCCTTGCCACCGAGCCGGACCTCAAAGATGACAAGTTGGGGTAGGAAAATGACGGCGATCTTATACCGCACCTCCAAATACGTTGCGCTTTCTGGCTCTAGGAATGCCTTGGCCGGCGCGTCGGTGAAGTTGCACGTCAGATTCGTCACGGTCGTCAACTCGGCTGGTCTCACTGTCAGGTAACTTGTAGGTTTGGTGGGCAGGGTCAGATGGATCGGACATACAACGACGCAAATTCGAAAGGACACGGTTCCCTTCCAGTGGAGCCATGACGATCGCGTGCGACCATGTCTCGATGGGCTTCATCATGCTGACCGCATGCACCATGGGGATCTCGATCAGGTTCTTGTCATCATCCAGCGATGTTCCCTATTCTCTCGCGATCAGTAAGAATTGATTGTTGGTGGACACTCGGCGAAGAGAACCGCAACGAACCGCAACGACAAGCCATTTGATTTGGTCCCGTGCGTACACCCGTCGGTCGGTTTCGTCTCTAAATATATTCTGATCCCGGTGCATGTGTGGATTGAACAGCTGGTTGTATACGATGCCATACGATATCCGGGCCACGCGGGCACGCAGCACCGGTCGGCTGCCCGCACCAAGCCGGTCCACAGCAAGCTGGTGGGCACGGGACATGAGCAGGCCCCTGACCACTGCGAGCTGTCTAGGAAACATCAGTTGCTGGGGCCAAGTTGCGTCGGCAACACCAGTAACTTACGGGTCTGGTAGTTGGACGACTTCCGCTGCCGGCATGATGAATGGAGAGGGGTCGAGATGGCGGTAAATGTTGCCGAACTTGTGAATGACATATGGAGACCTTCCAAGGCCCCCAGAGAGGACGATGTGAGCCTCAAAGATTGTGAGCTGCCGCTCAGCGAGATAGGGAGCCTATATCGGCGATCTTACAATCGGCGATCTAGGTGGCACCCTCAGTGCTGTGGCTATTTGGTCGTCTATCAGCTGGAATAGCCTGTTGAGTTGGTCATCGAACAAGCGTTGTAGCTCATTTCTAAGGGATAAATTCCGGTCAGCAGACTCGAGGAATATGAAAGCCACTGTCAACTATTGTGTGAGGTGATGCCAAAGACATTCCTTTAAGAGTTTCACACTGACAAACATTGCGGCCAAAAGGGCAAGGATTTTAGCTTACCTGTCCAGTAGAAAGCATCCCCTTTCCACTTTGGCTTCTTTCGAATTGAAATCTGTCGGTAGGCCTGGTACTGGCAGTCTGAGAAGGATGATTGTAGAAGTCTCAAACGTGGTCTTGTAGGTTTGGAATAGTCCGATGGTCATCTTTCGCACGGCGTCTTTGACAGAGGTGGGGGAAAGTCCTAGCTCTGCTTCAAGGTATCTCAACCGTTCAAATGCAAGCCGTTGAAACCCAACGTCGATCATTGCGCTACCAAGACTGTAGTCTGACCAAGGAAATCAGTCACAGTTCCTACACCAGGAATGGGTGGAAGGAGAAGTTGCTCTCACCTTCAGCTTGATGCAGGACCTGAAATCGTAGACCTTGGCCTGATCCGGCGGTCGATTCGAGAAAACTGATTTTCTACGGGTAAAACGTCCATTAATATGTCCTCGATCAAGCTGAGAGCTTCAATTCACCTACCGTTGATATTCCGCCTAAATCAGCAACGAGAACGACTCCTTGGGGCTAAATCATTGAGATGAGCTTTCGATAGTGACGAAGTGGAGCGATCTTACTGTAAAGGGCACTGTGGAGTGATCAAGGGCAGAAATTACTGTTGCTTCCGCCTCAGTCATGTCCAATTGGCAGCTGTGCTGTCGGCCAGCCCTGCCGAAACCAGCCTTGTCAACGAGAGCCTCGAACGATTGCATCACGTTGACATTCCAGGCAGAAGGTATCGCGAAGATGAATTCAATCTCTTTATGATGCCATCCATGTACCATCCCTGCGAAGCCCTCTCCGATGTGGGCATAGAGCATCCGTAAGAAATCTAGACATAGCTTTCGGGCATGATCAGGGTCTTCTGGCACGCGCCGAGACCCTTTCCACAAGCTGCTGGCGGTCTGCAGCACACGCGGGTCAAGGAATGCTTTGAATGCGTCAAAAATTTGAGTATCATGGTCGTCCGTCTCGCATATTGCCGGGAATCCCCAGGATAAGAGCTCGCCATTGCGGTAAGCGAGCGCAGTTGGCACCTTTCTGAAGTTAGCGATGGATCTTCGCAAGAACTAGCCAAGCAGACACGGCTTTCTACCTTGTCCTCGGATGCAAATCCAGTTCCTGGCCATCTCCGAAGGATCTTAAGTGTCTCGCCAGGAGTGCCCTTGGTGTCCCACCATCCGACGCCTGGTCTCAATTAGCACCGTGCAGTTACGGGTATCAGTATGTCCGAGCAAGGACAAGGTGGCTTATACCTGTGCAGGTCGTGCCAAAATCGACCGCGATGACCAAGTCCGGCTGGCTGCTTCGCGAAAGCCTAATGGCCCGAAGGTCTGCAACCAAGGCAGCTTCAGGATATTCCAGAGCGTCAAAAAACTCGTCCGAAACTCGGAATCTTCCCGAAGGATCACGATCCACAAAAGCTGCAGTGTAGGTTGTAGTGCTGTCCACCGTGCTTTGGAACATGTTGCCCTCTGCGGTATCTCCACGGCTTCTGAGATCCCGGATGAATAACTGCAGCGAACCCATCCACTGGTAAAGCGTGGTAATCTGCGCAGTCTCGCGCCTCATGACTGTTGTGTCATTCAGGATTTTGTGGGTGTTGTCCTTGGTTTCCATGGACACGAATCTAGCAGGATTAATTGCCAGAAATGAGCTTAGCAAGCATGAGAGGGCCAAAAACAAGAACAGCACCGCGATCAAAAAACAGATGAGATGCTATTCGAACTACTCCAACTCCAATGGGCACGAAAATACCACAAGACCCCCAAAGTGAGAGAAGATACTGACATGGAGGCAATGAGCAGGGCGATTGCAATGGCCGACTTGTGCCCCTCCAACTTGGACTTGAGATTCATCAGCTTTTCCCGCTTCGAGAGCGACCACTTCAAGCGGCCAAACAGTCCGGTAGAAGACAGCTTTCGCAGGAGTTCGCTCATTTGGGTGGTCACGTCGTCGCAATTCCGAAGGGTGTCGAGGAGATTCTGGCGCAACGAGGCCGGGTATTCGGCCATGTTACCATCGTCACGCATACTCTCGAGACTCTCTGAGAGACTGGCAAGCTCTTGAAGCAGCTCTTGCATGTCATTGCGGGCGTCTTTGAACCGGGAGGCCAAACCATTGGCTTGGGCTGAAAGCTGGGCGACCGCGGCGATCGTGCCTACGCAGGCTGTAGTGATCGAGATTGGATCCATATCTGCCGCCCATTGTAGTCTCCTGGGTTGGAGGATGATCTAGGTCACCATTTATAGGGCGAAGGTGAAGTAGACAGCCGCAGCTTCTACTTGCAACAGACGCAGAGGGGGAGGGAGGTCGTCAGGCCATCGAACCTCACGTGCCTCACTACGAGGTACATTGACAGCGGGGCATCAATCCAAACATGCCAAGATGGGTGCAAACTGATCAAACAAAATATACTATACGAGGTACAACTTAGTAGCCAGATATTAAACAAGATTAACATTCATCACTATGTCATACCACTACTGGGCGCATCTACCCTTGGAAAATCATGCTGTGTACTGTGGCAGCTCCTCCATCTGCTCAAACTCGGTCATGGAAATCTCATAGCCCAAATGCCTCTTGAGCAGCTCATGGGTCACAAATCGCTCTGGTGTATTGCCCTGTGCATCGACAAATGACACGTGGTGATTCACATCACTGATGCGTTGCAATTCATTGGCGTGGCGATGGTGATGCGGGCATCCGTCCACGCCGATGAGGAAGATGGTGACGTGGGCCCACGAAAGACCCAGCAGATCCAGCTCGAACTCGTCCATATCCGTGGCTTCACCGTCGAGCAGCAGAAGCAGGCGGAGCATGGGCGTCTCCGGTCCAGCCTGCCATCCATACACTGGGTGGTGCGTGGCAGACTCGGAGTGCTTCTGGAAGTGCAGCTCCTTGACCTTTTGCCAGCCTGTCATGACGCGCGTGCCGCCTCCGATTCTGACCTTGCGCCACATCCTATCGAGGTTCTGGTGGTTGATGGTGCCAATGTATTCGGCAGAGTCGGAGAAGGTGGTCAGATCGTAGCCACGGAACTGGTGATCATGGTTGGCCATGGCATCCGTGAAGCGTCGGATGATGGCTTTGGCAACATCTAGTGTACACAGTCAGCATGTTATTCGAAATTCGAGGTTTCTCTTGGGAAAGTACCTTTGTTCTTTGGCTGCGTGGATTTGGTGTAGCCGGTGATAAGATACTGGTCATATCTTGGTCGAACCGGATCGAAGCCCATTGATCCCGAGACATCCAAGAGGATCATCGTGTCGTCTGTGGGCACTTCGGGTCGATCATAAGCGATGAACGGTTTTGGCATGACTTGCTTGGAGTAGCCAGCAGAGGTATGTTGAACATGACAGGTGTCGGTGGCCGAGTAGTACTCGGGTGGAGGTTCGACGGCAGTGGCCATTCTGGCTCGTGCCATGTTCATTTCGGAGATGAAGTCTGGCTTCATTCTGGCTCCGACACTGCCTTCTCTGTGGTTCAAGACCCAGTAGAGTCGTTCCTCGGCCGTATCTTCGTATCCTCGCCATGAAGGGGTCAGTCCTCTCCATCCTGCCGCTGCCTCGATACTGAACTTGAGCGGATTGGAAGCTTGATTCGCCCAGGCCACCGGAATAGGCTCAAAGTATCCAGCCCTGAGCAGATGAAGATATTGGATGGGCTGGCGAGCTCGAAGATAAGCGATTTTTCCAGTCATGCCCACCTTTTCTTGGTATACGGCCACGATATGCCGCCACTGCTCATCAGGCCACCTGCCATCCTCTTCCGCCAGAATTGTTTCGCGCAGACTACGGCCTTGATCCACCATCTGCTCCGCCTTTGCCGTTGCCCTCTCCTTTGAAGATTTGATGCCGATGGCCTGTCGGAAACTTGAAAGCCTCGAGGGCTTGGCTGGCCTTGCCGCGCTTCCATCTGTAGAGGAAGGGCCCTCCTTTTCTGGCAGTCCACTTGAATCTTTCTCGTCGTCCGCGTTGTTGGATCGCTTTTTGTCATTGGCGGCCATGATGCTCAGCTGAGACATTGCGGCTTCTAGTGCGGCGTCGTTCCAGATGTCGACCGCTGGTTCCAGCGCATTGATCCTGGCTTGAGCTTCCGCATTTAGGCGATTGTTGAGGTCAATCGTCTGGTGGATGGACATGGCGTGGTATTTTGGCCGAGGTCTCTGCATTCCCCAGGTGGAGTTTGCGTAGCCATATGGCGACACGACGCGGATTCTGTATGGGTTCCTGCTCAGTCCAGTCAGGCTCTGAGGGTTGTCGTTGTAGGCCTTCTCGCCTACCCCAGCAGCAAAGCAGCGAATCAGCTCGGTTCACACAACGCAACCTAAGAAACGTCAAGACGACATATACTGACCAGGATACATGACTGCCTTTGACCACATGTCCTGCACTCCGTAGCGACTCCATTTCATCCTCTGATAGATGTGGATGGGACAGCCACAATAGTAGTCTGCCTCATGCTCGGGTTCGATTTCGCTGTTGTATATTTGGTATTGGAACTGAAGCTTTTGCAGAGCATTCTGCATTTGTTGCTTTGGGAGCGTTAGCCTGATGTTATGCAATGGTAATCACAGGCCGAAATACGGAAGACTCACCTCATCTCTCGCACGAACTCTGCCAGCCTCAATGACCGGGTTGGTATGGGGACGTTTGGCTGTTACCCGGCTGGTGGCCCTTTGAGGTGGTGGATGTGATGGTGGCGCATAGGCCGGAGGCTGAACGAGCTTCTCGTCAACCGCTTGCTTGATGTCGCGCGATGGGCGTTTCGCAGTGGTCTGAGTCGTCCTTGATGCCGTTACTGTGCTCTTGTCTTCTTGCACCTGAATTTTTCGCTCAGGATGCCACTCCTTGTGTTCATCTTTCAAACTTGAGTCCATTGTTCCGCCGCAACGAGTGCCCGAGTACAGAACCGCAGTCTATTGAAAAGTGTCAAACGCCCGCTCAGATTCGTGTCGCACTTTCTTCTGCTCTCAAAACTGTTGTTCCTCTTCTTCGTCTTGAGGCCAGGTCCGTGATAGCGAAGGAGGGTCGTGATACAGCCATCTCCGCATTTATGGGTGTCAGACCGCTGGAGGCTGTGCAGTGATGGGTACGTCAACGCCTTGCGACCTCTCCAATGATATCGATCAGCCGACAGACTCGCATCGGCACATGCAACTGGTGGGTCCGGGGGAGGATTGGGCTCTCGGGCTCTCGTTGTCTGCCCGTCGAATCGCAGTAAGAGATAAGCACTGTGGCACTGTGGCACTGTCCCCAATCGTAAGCGAGCGACTGTCAAGCTTTCTCCAAGCCTCACCAAGCTTGTCATTGATTATTCGCGCATCTCCCACCGTCTCGCGCATCCTCGTTACCCCTTGCCACTGTCTGGCGCTACTTTTACGCAGCCGCACGGATGAAAAGATGGGCTGCGGAGACTCGCTTTTCCGGGAGGGGGAAGAATCATTATGCTGAATGAAGGAGTCCCATGCATTTAATACGACGGTGGCGATGGTTGCTCGTATTTTCTGGAGATCCGTTTCTCGAGTCATCCCTCTCTCGCCAAGGGTTATTTGAATATGCGGAGCGGCTTGAAGAAAGAGCATGCAAAGTGCGAATTTAATACCATAAGCTAAGCCATTTAACGCCCTCATTGCTGGACTCCCAGAGACCATCGTGCCTGGCAAACCGCCCCACGAGCCAAATTTTTTCCTTGCTCAAGACCTGGCCCCAGGACAACACAGGCTGGAAAATGACATTTCATGTGTACACGTTCTCCTATGTTAATCCTCACGAAATCCATCCTGCATTTGTCTGCCTATCGGCGTGGTAGATGTCGTCAAGGCTCACGCTGGCTAGGCAAGTTTGAGAGACGACCTCACGCCTTGACATATTCCTCGTGGACGCCAGCTGAGCTCTTTCTGCGGACCGCAGCTAGCTCAAGATCTGCCAATGTGCTCCGACGGGCCTCTGTAGCTCCCATATCCTTGACCTCGGTAAAGCGGACGGTTGGAACAAAGTCGGGCGACTTCCTAGCAGAGCTGACCTTTGCGTAGAGCTCGTCGACCTGCTCGAGGGTCAAGCCCTTCGTCTCGTAGATGAAGAAGTACACGAAAGCGCAGCAGATGCAGCAGAATCCGCCCCAGACGAAGAAGACCTTGGATCCCAGATTGCTGTATAAAAGTCAGACAAGCTCGTTGAACATGCTCTCTTGAGAGTACTCACGCATTTCCGGGGCCAGGATTGACCATGTATGGTGTAGCATAGGCGATAGCCCAATTGAGGAGCCAGTTTGAGGCCGTGGTCATGGATAAGCCTTTCGCTCGGGCTTTCAATGGGAAAATTTCGCCTAAACGAGAGTCAGTAAGACCCCAATATTTTCGAAGGGAAGAACGTACCAGTAACAACCCAAGCGCAAGGACCCCACGAGCAGGCAAAGAAGAAGATGTAGATGCAGACAAAAGCAATCAAGGCATTGCTCGCTGCCGGTTCACCAGGCCTGGCGGTGCCCACGCTTGCAACAATGAGCTGACAGACAGACATGCCAATGGCACCGAAGAGAAGAAGCGGCCGTCTCCCCCAACGCTCGACCATCCACAGACCAGGAACAGTACTGCACACGTTGACCACGTCGGTAATGACGGAGATGATGAACGGATTGTGTATCCCAGCGCTGGTAAAGTAAGTCGTGCCATAGTAAAAGATGAAGTTGACGCCAGTAAGCTGTTGAAGAGCCTGGAGGGCCATGCCGGTGAATAGCCGTTTCCTGATCGGGGCCTGGAAGCAGGCAAGGTAGGATGCTGTGCCAATGGCCATCTCATACTCATGGTTGGCGATGATTTCGGTCAGTTCCTCGACGACAGCAGGGTGATCCACGGGCAGTCTGCGGAGACGGGCCAGAGACTTTGCCGCCTTTTCAGCGTTTCCCTTCTTGATCAAGAACCGTGGCGTTTCTGGGAGGATCAGCATGCCAGCTACCAATACGATGGCCCACGCAAATTGGACAGCTACGGGAATCCGGTAAGACCCAGTATCATTGCGGTTTTTGGTAGCATTGAGGACAATGGCCGCGAGGAAGAGGCCGATCGTGACTATAGGGCCCTGTCAGTGTGTTGAGAGCAACCGGAGTCAGGGTACAAGAACGTACTGGCCCACTGATAACAACCGACAATGGCCCCTCTGATCCATTTTGGCGCCGTCTCCGACTGATATAATGGAATGGTGGCACTCAGAAGGCCAACCCCGAGGCCTGCGAAGAAACGGCCTGCGACAAACATTGGGATGGCGGTGGCGGCAGTCTGGAGAATGACGCCAAACGTAAACACGCCAGTGTTGAAGATCACTTCACAAGCATATTAGTATAAGCTCTAGAGAGAGTCCACAAACGGTGGCAAAGTGCGTCAAGGAGAGGGATAGTGTATCTTGAGGCAATCTATAGGTCCTCGCACACCCTGTCCTGCTGATTTGTGAAATGGGTAGACGGCTTACTTGCTAGTCGACGACCCAGCATATCTGCGACCGGGGCACTGAATAGAGCACCGAAGAAGGTCCCCGCTGACAGGATGGAGACAATTTCGGATGTCTGGCTGGCTGTCACGTCGGGGAAATTATCTTTGGGGTTGATATATCCGGTCGAAAAGAGGTTTCTCCAGTACTTCATTGCCAGAATGCCTCCTATTGTCCCAGTGTCATACCCAACTGTCCCATCCCAATGGTAAACGTCAGCAGCAGTCTGAGGAAGCAACGTCATAGTGGGGAGACTGTGGTTGGATGCCGGAAGGTATGTGTGACTTACACAAGACACCACCAAACGCTACGAAACATCCTATGATGATTGCAGGGAGGGCTGACCCCGGGGTGTCTGCAGGCTTCGAGAAGAGAAAAGACATGATGCTGTAGCTTGAGAGTTGATCTGAACACAATGGGGGCGAGTGTAGATCTGATATCGAGAAAGATGATTATGTGCAGCCTTCATCTCGAGAATGGCGATGAAGGAACCACCACTCAGGTATAAATACACGAGGTCCATGTTCTCATGGTACCTTGTCGAGCTCCTAGAACATTGAAATCACGGATAACAACATTGGTCGAGTTGTATTACGCCGAGTGTCGGCGAAATATTCCCAATTCTGTTTCAAGGTGCATCCTTGGCCTTCCACAGATCACCCGCTGTTGGTCATCCATGTGCCAGCTTTGGAGTCCAGAAAGATCCAGGGTCAGGGTTCCAGGACACGGGTCACAGCAAACGCAGCCGATCTCATGTTTCCACCAGTGAAAGTCTTGATTGAAGTTGGGTAGGAGGTCGTACAATAAAGCCATCGCTGCAAATGTCGAAGCGGGTGGCCCAGTCAGGAAAAGCTTGCTTATTTGGCGTAGAAGTGAGAAACATGGGGCTCCAGAACTTCGATGGAGCATGATGCAAAGCTGGAGCATTGTTTTTCCGTATTTCACCGAGGCAGCCATTAAGAGACGTTCACGTGACCCTGAATCACCCCGCACGTTCGGCCTTTGAGAGTCTCATAACCGATAAGCCAATCAGATCCATTCACTACTAGTGAGAAGTTCCACCACATCCAGACAAAAGCCGACGATGACAGCCTCGCACAAACTTCTGCGTTCCCGCGCATTGGCCTCGACATGAGAACTTGGAACCAGTTCCTTTTGAGGCAGATTGATGCATCATCACCTATCTACTCCAATGAATATCCTCGTTACTCATGCCACTGCCCGGAGACAATGCCTGCGCAGCAACACTGTGCAAGGATCATGGAAGATCACGGTCAAACACCGTCCAGGGGCGCGTCTACCTTCTGCTAATCGGTCCGATTCTGTTCGCAGACCGGGAGCCAATTGGTAGATAGCACGGTTACTGTGCCTTAACGAGTTTGGTGGTGAGTCCTTGCCGATCTCCACTCTAATATGATTTGTGCAGGAATCTTCAAGGAAATGACGTCGATATCATGCTTCGCGACACTCCGCATGGACGTCAATATTGTTTCAGTAGTTCAACATACTTAAGCCCAAAAGAAGAGGGACAGGCCGTTTCGCCATCGGGTGCTCGACACTCAGCTCGATCATCTACTGTCATGAGTTCGTTGATTTTTATACTATGCCTTGCTCTGATGGTATCCGCGTATGCCCAGGTCTCCGGATATGTAGAGCCTTCGGTGCCTACAGGGGTACCAATACCTGGAAACTACAGTGGTGCTCTTCGCCCACAGGTCCATTTCTCACCTCCCAAGGACTTTATGAATGATCCCAATGGCATGTTTGTCGATGCGAATGGCACGTATCATTTGTACTACCAATGTAGGTAAACGCGGCTCAAGGCCAAACACCTCTTGGTGCTGATTGGAACGAAAGACAATCCGACAGGCGTCGTGGCAGGTAATCAGCACTGGGGCCATGCGACGTCCCAAGATCTCTACCACTGGGTGAACCAGCCAATCGCCATATTCCCTCCGGACGCACAGTCCAACATTTTCTCAGGTTCCGCGGTGGTGGACGTGAACAACACGTCGGGGTTTTTCCCACACCAGGACAATGGTGTCGTGGCCGTCTACACCGTCAACACGCCCACGTCGCAGACACAGGCACTTTCATACTCCATCGACGGCGGGTACACCTTCCACCCGTACTCCGGTAACCCGGTGTTGAGCGACAACTCCAGCCAGTTCCGCGACCCCAAAGTCATCTGGCACGCGCCCACGCAGAAATGGGTCATGGTGGTCGCCTACGCGCAGGATCTCGCCGTCGGCTTCTTCACGTCCGACAACCTGAGGGAATGGGACCACGTCTACAACTTCTCCCATCACGGCCTGTTGGGAGATCAGTACGAATGTCCCAATCTGGTGGAAATACGGATGGAGGGCCAAGAAGAAGACGAGCCGCCGATGTACCTGCTCGTCGTGAGTATCAACCCCGGCGCTCCCCTCGGCGGCTCCATCACCCAGTACTTCCCGGGCGCCTTCAACGGCACTGTCTTCACGCCCGTCGACGGCGCCGCGCGCATCGCCGATTTCGCCAAAGACAACTACGCGGGACAGTTCTTCTACGGTGTGCCCGTGGGCCGCGATCAGATATCCATCGGCTGGGCGAGCAACTGGCAATACTCGCAAGTCGTACCGACGGGTCCCCTGGAAGGCTGGCGCTCATCCATGTCCCTCCCACGGGTCAACTACCTGAAGAACATCAGCCGGGTGGGCTATGACCTGGTGTCAGCACCGTATGATTTATCGGCTGTAATCAACACCACCGCGCTGGGTCGAAAGACCATGGGAAACGGCAGTCTAAGCGTCGACTACTCCTCTGTCGCCTCCGGCGCGCTGTATTTCCAGGTCAACATCACCAACATCCCCACAACCAACATCACAGGCACCACGAACTTTACGTTCTCGTCGTCCCGCTCCGGCGAGTCGCTCAGGGGAGGCTACCTCCTCCCTCCCGACAGCGCCTTCTTCCTCGACCGCGGCAACATCCGGGGCTTCGACAACCCCTTCTTCACTGACAAATTCTCCACGAGCTGTCCGTACAACAGTTCGTCATCGTCGCCACTGACCTGGCGCGTCGAGGGCGTGATCGACCGGAGCATTATCGAGGTCTTCATCAACGGCGGCGAATCCTCCGCCACGCTGACCTTCTTCCCCGAGCGGCCGCTCGATATCCTGACGATAAGCTCGGGCGGCCTCAACCCCAGAGTGAGCGTGAGTGCGGCCGTATATGGTCTTGACAGCGCGTGGGCGAGGTTTGAGGATCTAAATGGCACGGTGGTGGGGAATGTGACCACTGACCACTAACCACTAACTTGCTACCTTGGAAAGAGATTTGGAAAGATTAGATTACACCTTCTGTGAAGCTTGAAGACAATCATCTCGAGGAACGTGACCACTGACTTGGCGACCTCGAAACAGAATACAAAGCTTAGATTGTGGACTGCTCTTCCCCACCAGTAGCTCGAGTGTTGCCCCGGGAATTAATATGGTGGTTGGTGGGCATGGCATTTTGGATCTTCCTGGACTTAAAAGTCATACATAGCTTGTACATCCATCTCATCTCACGGAGTCACAGAGGAATTTTCCTAGGTAGCTAGAAGGGGCTTCTTCATCTAGCATATTAAAAAGTTGAATAGACTCGACTAACACGCTTTCTAACGCAACAGGGACAATGCAGCTTGCTTGGGCAGACTCTAGTATAGGGCTAGGTAGAGGGGGATCTCTCCAATCTTTTTACGTCGCTCTAGTTCTCCATGGCATAGCAGGGGTGGAATGGAATGGAATGCAAAGGTACATGATCCAGCATTCTCACTCGCTCGCTCGCTATGACAGGCATGACGAGTTCCCCACCTAGAATCCAAGCCCAAGTGCCACGACGGCAGCGAGGCCAACACTCCAAGCGAGTCCGCCCATATGCTGCACGCTCAGCCTGCCTCCCGCGTTGGTCGCAGCTTCAGGTGTAGCAGTCGCAGTCACTGTGACCGTGGCTGTCGCCTCTGACGTGCTGGATCCGTCGGCGAGTTGCTGGACGAGAGGGTAGATATCGACGCCGGTCGAGTTCTGGCACTGGTCTTCGGGGAGGAGGGTGGCGTTGGCGCTGAAGCGGATGTCGGCGCACTAAGAAGACGATCAATCAGTTAACTCACTCACTCGGCCAGGATGGGAGGTCAGGGGAGGGGGGGCTGTGTCGACATCGACAACGTAGAACTAAAACAAACAACAAACAGCAAACTTGACGTAGACATAGACGCGGACATACATTGTACAGAGCAGTCCCACTATCTCCAATGGTAATGACCTGCAGCGATGCGTCCATGCCATCAGTGATGCCCAGGTCCGCCGGCAGCGTCCACTTGGGGATGCAAATGGTGCCGTTGCCCGTCTCGTTGAGAAGCATCGGGTTCAGCGAGATGTTGAAGGTGGCAATGTCACTCCCAAAGCCCAGGTTGAAGGCGACATAGGTCCACGGGTGGTGGAAGTCGATGACCAGCGAGCCGCCGTCGAGGGGCCAGAGGGTGCGGTTGGCGTTGGATTCGGCAGAGGTGTTGACATTGGCGCCTGGGTACATACAGATATTCAGTGGTCAGTCTTTGATGTCTGCGGCGCGGTGGAAGGATTGGGGGGTTACAGGCATATGCATATAACCACAGGTAGAGGCTCGTCTGTTGATACAAGAGGGGGGCAACGGGGTTGAAGGAGGGACAAGGTGTGTGTTGTATCGACTTACATGGGAAGATGTATTGAGACGCAGGGGGTAGGAAGGAGTCGCCTCTCCACGTTGGATAATTCAGCTCAAAGTGGGCGGATACGACGTTGGCCGCGACCAGGAGGGCAGCAATGAAGAGCTTCATCCTTGATACTCGCAACAGGACAGAAGCACGTGGGAGAGAATCTGGGTGCCTGTGTAGGAATCAAGGAGCACAGGGGCAGCAGCAGGTATGTATTATATGTATGAAGCTGACGCTGAAGGTAAAGACCGTCGACGACCCAAAGACCTCAACTTGACTTGACTTGACGTGACTGGAGTATTCAGGACTCTCTCTCCCTCCCCCAGCGACCCTCTTGACCTTTTGTACTTTTTTTTTCCTTTTCCCTCTAGCTTACCAGCACCGGGGGTCACACGAACCATTGACCTAATCCTATCTGCCTCTCTAATGCTAATACACCACGGGAATTTTTCTCTCTCTCAACCTCTTAGCTACTCAAGGCAAGGAGGAACCATCTGGACTCGAAAGAAAATGGGTAATGAAAGCATCCACTCTCCCACGAGTGGCTGAAAGACGTAGCCTGTCATTGGACAACGCGATAGAACAGACCTCATGATAAACTTGCTCATCTGGACGGTGTGTTCCTTTCGGTCCTTGGCATTTCTTGGCAATGTTCCGTGGAGTCAGTAGATTCAGGGACGTGGTTGATGCTGGTGTCTGACCGTAAGTGGGACCCGTGTACCTGTGGCATGCATGGACTGCATGGACTGAGGACACGAGCCGAAGAGACACGCTTTGTCCCGAGCGGGTACAAGGCCGAGTGGGAATAGCGTGGGATATACAACGATATGCTGTAGGATAGAGAAAAAGGGAGTAGAATACTGGGTGTAAATACCAAGTACACAGTCAGTGCCAGGAATCGTATCTCATATCTAAAAATGCCATAAACGTCTATAATCTCAACGACCGTCGCTATGCTGTCACCACCCGTAAGTCTCCGAAAACAGATATATCCCTTGAGCGCCCGTGCCTTTGTGGACGGCCCTCTCATCAGACAGCTTGGCCACATAATTCCTCAGCTGCCCAGAAAACTGAATGCCACCGCAAGCGAGGATTCCTGTCTCGCCCCAGGCCTCTTCCACGACTGGGTGAATGAGAAGATCAAAATCCGGGCGACCGTAGGCGACCTGTATCTTGGGCTGCTCATTTACTGAAGAGGACGAGGAGACAGAGTCCTCCCTCACGCTTCCTATTTCCTTTTGCATAGAAAGCTTGGCATTATCAGGTATGTCGGCCGTGTCGAGATTGTTGTCCAGTAGTTTCTCTGGGACTGAATGATTTGAATCTGATCTTGGCTCGAACAATGCGTTGCATTCCGACGGCGACACGCTTCGCAGCTGTCCATGCCCGGTAATGAAAGCGTATATGTTTATTTTGATGTTGCGCCGTCGTGCCGCCACCCATGCGGAGAGTAACTCCTCTTTGAACCAGTCGAGTTGCTCCGCTTGTCGGAAGATCCAAATGAAGGAAATCTGTCGTACGTTGTTGCTCGTCAGAACGGCCTGTCGGAAAATGGGAATTGTGAAAGAAACGCCGTTCCCCGTAGCCGCAAAGACCATTGATTCGAATCGTTCAACAGAGGGAGGATTTCCCCACGGTCCGCTAATGAATGACAAAAAGGTGCGGGATGACAACTGGTTTTGACACCGACGGTATAGCCTCTTGGTGAATCCATTGTGCACCCTCACGTATAGCTCAATAGTGTTGGGTCCGCTTTCTCCAGATACTGATTTCGGGATGCTGGCAATGGTAAATGGATGTGCTTCGAAGATTCCGGCGCGAGGGATGGACAGGTACACATGCTGACCGGGCCGCCACGACATTGCGACGTTTCGCACTTTGACCTGCAGAGTCTCGCCTGAAAGAGCCTTCACCTCAGCTTCATATCCGATACGTCGGCCGGACGGAACACTGTCCCGTTTGTTGGGAAGGAGATGTAAATTGATGACCAAGGACATGACTGTCCTGACGAGCCTGTCAAAGGCAACGACTCCTACCGCAAACCACACATTGTACTGCGCATATGAAGGGACGTGAACGTGGACCAGCCACAACAGCACCATGGCTGCCGCGAGATGCTGCACGAACCAAAGCTCGTACGAAAGATTCCGGAAAAAGCCAAATCCCGTGATGACCATCCAACCCAATGTCGCCCAAGCACCAAATCCATATTTGACCATAGGCATCCATTTCAGCTGCAAGGTCACAAAGTCGGCAATGGACCACTCGGTGAAAAAGTACGACCAGTGCACGATGACGGTCAAGAAAATAGTGCGGCTGACCCAGCGATGTAACCAGTTCAATCTCTCATACGAGATGCCAGTCAACATTGTGATGATGTTGGCTTTTCCAGATAAAATGTAAATCAGGGGTAGTTGGGTGACCGAAACCCAAGCAGCACGAAAGCCCACAATCTCCCATCGGTAGGCGTAGTTGGGCGAGGAGGGGGTTAGGAGGACATTTGACCATAACATGGTCAGGATGACGGCCCAGTAGGTGAGGAGCAGGAGGCACCTCCCCAAGGAAGGGGGAGTGAAATATCTGGTAAATCTGCCGGTGCACGTCCATAGTTGTGGGTATGCCAGCTCTCTGCAAATGGCTATGGTGGTGTCGTAGAGTTGCTCGAGGGCATTCTGTGGTCTCCCAGGTATTTGTCCTGGTTGCTGTTGTGATTTTCGCTTACTTGTTGACCGCATGTCAGTGACTCCGATATCAATATCCCGAGTCAACTCAAAACTTACTTTGCAAGAATTCTGAGTCGATCTACCACCCTTCGAAAGACGAGTACGCCCACAACCGCAGCAACCAAGTACCAGTACAGATGCGCCAGCTTTTTATTTGTCGGCGTAAACATGCTTGTCATGGCCATGTCCATGCCGCCCATTCCGGACATCCCTGACATGTCCATGGTTGCGGTTGAATTGGCGGTGGTGGTTGTTTACAGGTCTTGTTATCGTTACAGGTCGTTATCGATGTACTAGGAGGACGTCCTCTGCAAGTATACCTTGAAAGAATGATATTTGCCCTCGGCGCTGGACGGACGATGATTTGTACGAAGTACTGACGGTAGGTGTACGCAGAAAAGACTACCAGTTTGTCTTTTAGCTCAACCGTGTCATGTCATCAAGGGTGCCACGCGCATGGGTAAGAATAGGTACGGTGACGGGCGAAACGGTGGTATCCGAAACCATGGAAACGTGCTCGTCTGGGGATGTAACAAGTACAAAGCGCCACCAGGAGCGGGCGAACGAGACGAGAGGGAAAGTGAGCAAGATTTCGATTTATTTTTTAACAGAAGGAACGGCGATCCTCCGACGCGAGCAAGCAGTTTGTAACTCGACTTGTCGTATCCGAGGCGGAGGGGAAGAAGAGCAAGGTGGTCGGCGGCGCGGCATGGTGGTGGGATGCAGCGGGTGAGATGGAGCAGCAACTAATAAAGGGATGAACGCTGGTGGTTGAGTTTGCCTGAGTCTGCAACGATGCGTGGATGATTGAGGCTGCTGGATTGTGCTCACCTGCGGACCGCGATCGCCCAGCCCAGACCGAGATCACCTGATTGGCCAGAAAATCTGCTCGTGCGGTGAGGGGTCCACCTGCGAAACTTGCTCACCACCACTAGTGCCATGCAATGGGGGAGAAAGAGACAAGCAACCGCTAAGGGTGAAAAAACAGCTGAGGGTGAAGCCGCGGGGCCAACCACATAGAATAATAAACCCCGGTGACTCCTGATCTTCGTAGAGAACGAGAGAGAACGAGACGAGAGTAGACGTGCACGGGAAAAAAAGCACAAAAGGAGAGTAGTAGACGCAGTCGCATCGAGAGCCTCAAGTCTTGGCCACCATCACTGCTCGATCACTCACTGATTCACTCGTACATTCGACTCACTCACTCTTCCATCAATCAACCCTCACCTCTCCATTCGACATTCAAGCATTCACACGCTCGCCAAATATGCATTTCCTCCGTCACCTCTCCCTCGTGTCCGCCTGGGCCCTCTGCACCTCTGCCCACTTTATCCTCCAATACCCCTCCTCCCTCGGCTTCAACGATGACAATGAAGGAACTGCGCCATGTGGTGGCTTCGACGTCGTCTTCAACGGCACCGACGACTCCATCCCCGTGGGCGGCTTCCCGGTGTCGATGCTGAGCACCCATCCTGCCGCTGACTGGCTTTTCCGTGTCACCCTCGACCAACAAGCGCCCTTTAACTGGACCAACCTGCTCCCGGTCGTCTCAGAGACTGGCCTGGGTCAATTCTGTCTGCCGCAACTTGTCGCCCCGGCTGAGTTTGCTGGCCAGCAGGGCGTTGTGCAAGTGATCCAGAAGGGTCCTGATGGTGTCTTGTATCAGGTAAGCTGAAGATCCAAGAAGAGACGACATCATGTCGTTCAATCAGGACAAGGTCAATTGACACATACAACTTCACAGTGTGCGGCAGTCAACTTTGTCGACGGCATCAACTCAACCGTCAGCTCCAGCTGCACAAACGTCACCGGCCTGACGGCAACCCTCACGAACCAGAATGACTTCGACACCAGCTCATCGTCAACTGCAGGAACCATGTCAGCAACTGCATCCCCTTCAGCCTCTGCCACCGCCTCGGGAGGTGCCGCCTCGTCCAGCTCAGCCGGTATGGCTGCTCCGACCACCGGACCTCAATTGATGCAAGGTCTCATTGCTGCCGCTGGTCTCGCTGTTCCATTCTTCCTGTAAGCGGATCACGACTATCCCATTGGCTGGTTGGCAGAGGGAATAGGGACCTCCTGAGTTGGGAAAAGATGTATGAATACACCTAGACAAACAAAAAGTCCAGATGCACATGAGATGGTTTTGTTGTCCATCTTGTCCTTCAGCGTGTGGGATGATAAGGCTCCCTTGTGGCCATCATTCTCAGGCTTGCTCGTTCATAGCGGTTTTTTGGCTCAGCTTCTTGTCAATAAGAGATGCACAATGCAATGACCCTCATCACTTTGTTGCCGGCCGACACCGTTGACCAGCACGAGGACGTAAATCACTGTGGGATCCAGAACTTTCGCGAACCCTTCCCCCTTTCGATGGCATGAGCCCTTTATGCCTAGCTGCCG